AGAGTTAGGGGATTCCACCTTTTCTATATTGTAGATGTCGACTAAATATCCCTCAATGGTATCAGCCATGCCCTGTACTAATGCGCGAAACGAAGTCTCGGTCCGTTTAAGTCCCGGTTCGCCCCGCAGTGTGACCCGTTTACCGTTTTCAACAAACGACATGGTTAGCTCTTTCCAATTAAGATGCGTGTCACCCAAAGTACACAACCATTTCATTCCTAAGATCACATCGGTGCTCCCTAGTTCCAAGGGGTAAAAATCGCTAGTAATATGCAAACCTTGCAAGGCTAAGGATACTTGTTTACATGTGTCGTAGGATTTATCGAATTTTTCCGTTTCCCATCATCACTCCCGTAGGTTTTTTGCCTTTAAAAAAAATGCCAAGGGGCCCCACCAATTTGACGGACAAAAAATTGTGTGTTGCCCCACAATCAATAAGAACCACAACTTCTTGCCATTTAATTTCACCTCTGAGCTTCATGGTGTGGGGTGTAGTTATCCCTATGACCGACCTTGCTGATACTGACACCATGTCTAATTTTACTTGCTCTTGCTCTTCTTCAACCTCCTCTCCGTCCTCACCCTCCCCGACCATTAAAATTTGCAGGGATTTATCCGGACACTTATGACAGGGACCAAATTTACTGTCGCAGCGAAAACACAACCCTTTTGCCTTTTTATCGGCAAATTCAGCATTTGTCATTTTCTTGAAGGGCGCTCAAGTTACCCCGCCATCCCTAGTGGCTACGACACCAATTTGGCTTCTTGATGACCCGGTCGCTCGAACATAAGTCTTCACGTTAGTTCCACCTACCGGATTTCGACTTTCGTCGAATACTAGTGCTAACTTAGGGATGAGCATATGGACCGGGGAACCGGCCGGAACCGGTACCGGAACCGGAACAGGAACCCGATGGAACCGGTCAGGCCGGGACCGGTACTATAATTTCGTCAATTTTTGGAACCGGGACCCTAACCGGTCGTTGGAACCGGCTCAAAACCGGGAACCGGACCGGATAACTCACTCAAATTTTGAAAGTTGCATAGCTCACTCAATTTAACTTTTTTTGACCTGAATCTTTTTCCTACATGTATATTATGATTTGTAGTTAAGTTTAGACTATAAAAACCCTTGATTTGGTTAAAAATTGAATGAGTTACAAGCCCCGCAAAGAAGGATGTCAAATCATAATTTTTTTTATGTTTCAACAATTAAATGTAATCTGACTTTGTTGTTCAAATGTACATAACTCACTCAATTTAAATTTTTTTGACCTGAATCTTTTTCCTACTTGTAGATTAGGATTTTTAGTTCAGTTTAGACTATAAAAACGCTTGATTTGGTTACAAATTGAATGAGTTACACGTCCCGCAAAGAAGGGTGTCAAATCAGAATTTTTTTTATGTTTCAGCAATTAAATGTAATCTGACTTTGTTGTTCAAATGTGCATAACTAACTCAATTTAACTTTTTTTTTACCTGAATGTTTTTCCTACATGTAGATTAGGATTTGTAGTTAAGTTTAGACTATAAAAACGTTTGATTTGGTTAGAAATTGAATGAGTTACAAGCCCCGCAAGGAAGGGTGTCAAATCAAAATTTTTTTATGTTACAACAATTAAACGTAATCTGACTTTGTTGTTCAAATGTGCATAACTCACTCAATTTAAGTTTTTTGACCTGAATCTTTTTCCCACACGTAGTTTAGGTTTTGTAGTTAAGTTTAGACTATAAAAACGCTTGATTTAGTTAAAAATTGAATGAGTTACAAGCCCCGCAAGAAAGCGTGTCAAATCATACCGGTTCCAAAACCGAAAACCGGCAAAAACCGGACCCGGAACCGGAACCGGTAGAACCGCCGGGCCGGTTCGGTTCTTGATTTTGGCCGAAGCCGGTTCCCGGTTCGGGTCCGGGTCGGGCCGGTTCGGTCCGTTTGATCATGCGTATGCCAACTTAATGGCTTGTTTCAAACCCACTGGTTGCATGGTTTTAATAGAAGTTTGTAAATCGGGTTTCAACCCTTTAATGAAGGTCGCTTCCAAGATCTCATCTGGAATGTTTTTTAGTTGAGCCGCCGTTTTTTTCGAAAACGCATAACGCATACATAATCTCGTACTGTTCCCTCTTGTTTGATAGTGAGGAATTGTTGGTGTAAGTTTCCATCTCGAGAGATTTGAAACCTATCCAATAACCCGTATTTCAACTCCTCCCATGTTTGAAACGGGGTTCGTTGCTCGCTCCAAAGAAACCACGATAGTGCCCGTCCTTCTAGACATAAAACTACAGCTTGAAGTTGTTCAGCCGAATTTATTAACCCTTGCATTCGAAAGAAACGTTCCGCTTTGTGTACTCATCCGTACACTTCCTCTCCTTCGAACAAGGGCATCTTCAATTTTCGTAACCGGTAATCCGGGTTGGAGTTCCACCCTCTCCCATGGCCACGATGATTGGATATCTGTGAAGGGTCCCATACGGGAACTGTTTCCGGCAGTGTTAAATCGATCTCTTCCTCTTCCGGTCCCCCACAAATAAATGAATTATATCGCCCGGGGTTGGTACTACCTGTAGCTGAAAAACCATGGGTTCCGAAGGATGGTTCCTCCCAGTTGTCAGCAAAAGAAGGTTGGGGTCGACCGTACGTCGTCGGGAATGTGACTGTGGGTTGGATGGAAGCCCTGGATTGGGTATACCAAGGAGTAGAAATTGTCGTGTGAACGGAGTTTACGTTCGCGGACCCATATCTGGTGGCATGAATGTTGTGTGACCCACATGCTGAGACGAAGAAAACATTGCTGCTGCCGGTGACTGGGGCGGTGGTACTACAGAGTGCGGATTGAAAACCGGTGGCGGTCCGGTGGTTGCTGATTGCTGGGTTGTCGCCGACGAAACAAAAGGTGGAAGGCCCGCCGTAGTGATGATGGGCGCGGGTGGTAGTGGTGAATGAAGAGGGTGGCGGTTGTGTCGGCATATGGGCGGTTTGTGCAGCAGCTTGGGATGCAGGGGGTTGCTGATTAAGTTTTAACAGCATCGATATCAGTTGAGCATGTCGTTCCTCTGCTTCTGCCTTCATCGCCGCCATCTTCTGGTCGGCATCAGTTCGGATTGCTGCCAATTCCCTTTCCACCTGGTCCTATCGATCTTTGTTTTCCTCAGATGAAGATTCCTTGCTGTCCGAACGGGTTGTGGGTTTGGAAGCTGTTGCATCAACTTTGGGAGGCATATATCGAATTGGCTCTGATACCAATTTGATTCCAACCAATTGTAGATTATAAAGAAAACGTCCAGAAATTTACTAATCGCTTGACTAACGAAGTAAAACAAAAACTAAACAAAATACTTAATTTTTTCTCTCCCCTATCTAATAGGCTGATGCCTTTATTTATATCCCCTACTGGTGATTCCTAATCCAACTACAATACGTAAATAAAGAAACTTGACTTGCAAGCCAAAGAAATACTAATAAAATATAAATAAGGAAACCTCTATCTATAATTATGATTTCAAAGATAATCATCAAATATCTTCTTTAGCTTTAGACAGCCTCTTGTAAACCTTATTCCACCTTCTGGAACGATTCATATCAAAATGACTGCTATATTATTGAATCAGAAGCTAGACTTTTATAGGTTTTTTGTAGAGATGTTACAACTAATACTGATACACTTGAAAGTTGAAACTGAAACTACAAATCAGGCAACTACTACTACAAGACATAAAGACCTTTCCATTTCCATAGTTCTAGCACCTAATTTTAAATTATTGTCATGAATTACTATTCAGCAATTGGTGACTCATCTGGTGGTTGGAGGTCTCAGCTGCAAGCAAACTCACGACAAAAGATCGTGAACAAAATGTGCGTATTCATACTCGTAAACTTCTCAGTTTTATGTGCTTTAAGAATTTTATGCTAACCTGCTTACAATCGTACTTTAACTATGATGATGTTAGCGTTGGGATTTTCTAGTTGATATTGTAGCCTCATGTATATAAATAGTCTCATGTTAGTTTTACAAGTGATGATTTTAAAGTCAGTTATCAAGAACTCTACGCATCAAAATGCATGGTAGAATTTGTGGAAGTCTATGACTAAGTGTAATTATAGGAATTTGATTATATTGTCCAACCAGGTAATCATAGCTCTAGAGTCTAGATCTCTGTATACTGACTCATCGAGTTTAAATTTTGTATTCAAATCTGGTGTCTTAATGATATTGATACTATTCTTGGGTTCTTGGGTTGACAAGTTCTATAAGCGTTTGCAAGGAAGAGTGAGGTATATTCAAATATTGATTCTTTTCACGTTATTTTTGTGAGTGTTTTTATTTAAGATGCCTTTTAAAGAGCCTAGATTTGTTTCTTAGAGGAATGAAAGTTGTAGAAATATTATTTTGAGAGAGGAAGCTCTTCCTGTTACATGTGTTCTTCAGTTCGGAATATGAACTTGCTAGTAATTCATTGAATACGATGCTAATGTATAAGAGGTACAATGCTAATGTATAAGAGACATGTGAAGGATGTCATATAGTTAAAGAATGGTTTTAGAGGTTGAACATTTACCAAGGTAGGATTTCTATTGTTTTTTAAACCTTTTACCTAACATTGGTTTCTGTAGTCAGCGATTTTAGTTTCATTGAGGCATTTTGGGTGATGGGAATTACATGGGTGCTCAGGGGATGTAGACTTTGATTTTATACGAGTTAAGTGGTGTGGATTGCATATTTGTATAAGGCTAGTTCGATCCCTTACATGAGATTGGCGGGGTCAAGGGGCAGAGCCCTTTGTTGTGGTCTTGAAACAAAACGGATTTTCAGACTGTAATATAGTTGAAAAAGTTGGACAGAAGTGGAAACCCAAAACTGAAGAGTCAATGTTTAGGATGGTGATCAGGATTTGTGTATTTACCATTTACATCCTTCTCTATATCTTAATTTTATGTTCATTAAGAATATGATCATGGTAATCTTATGAGTTTTGACTGACATATCTCGATGTTATGTAGAATGGATACCTTGAAGAGGCATCCTCGATTCTCTGCATATGAGGGGCTATATGAATTTGAGAAAATAGCTGAGAGGTTTGAAGAAAAGATTTATGCTGCAGCAACAAGTCAGGTTTGTTGTGTGTTCTATTCTATGACATAATGTTTTGTCATATATGGTAAGTTACTTTGGGACCTAAATATTTTAATTAATTTGGTTTGCAGGCTGATTATTTGCGCAAGATAGCCTTGAAGATGTTACCCATGGAGACTCAATCACAAAATACTATGCCTGAGTCAAACTCTGTTGCTAATAGTGTAAACCTCTCAAAAGGTATTTCTGGATAGATTGTCATTTAATCTTATGCCATTAGTTTTATAAATATGATTTTTTTAGGGAGAATTGTTCACTGTAGCCCTCTTCAGAAAAGATTTGTACGTCACTCATGCCTTTTAATTTCTTTGACATGATTTTTTGATTTTTGACTTAATGGTGGCAAGACTTAGGGGCTGTTTCTTCTTTTTCCACATTAAGTCTTGTATGGGTAAGGACAAAGTGATGTATATATTATAAACTTTATTTCTTTTCTAGACTAAATAAATCGTGACTAAATGACAATTTTAGCCTTTTATTCCAGTTCTTTTAAACAACGTGAAAAGAAAAATAGAAGGGTAAATATTCATAAGAAACACATGTATATCTATTGTGATCAAGTGCTTAACACATAAAACTTATTAATTGAAAAAGAAACAGCCTCCAAATACGGTAAGCTATATATGGGTTTAGTGGAGAATGAAGGACTTAGTACATACAAGTCAGAGAAATGGGGCTTTCCTCCAATAAGTCCCAACTTTCGTACCATTATTCCCTCATTTTTTTCCTTCCATATCTCCAAACATAGATCAATATTTTTATTATTAATTTTTGTTTCCTCATCATCTATCTTACTAACTAATATTCTTTGTTTGTTCCCCAATGGACAGGCTCTCAGGTGATGCAGCAACTGAACATCCAAGGGCAATCGCCTCCTATTCGCGTCCCATTTAATCATCATCAACATCAAGGACAACAACTTTTAACACATACTGGGATGCAAGGTTCTTCTAGGGTTTACAAAGAGATAACATTGTTAATGCACCTGAAAAACTAAAATTACAAATCATGCAACTAATAAAGTAAATCTAAATACAAGACCATGAAGACCTTTTCTCATGATTCTAGCACCTGACACTGTCTGAATTATTGTCTTGACTTGCACTTCAGCAATTTATGACTCATCTATGGAATCTAGTGATTGGAGGGGCTCAGCTGCAAGCAGATTCACGACAAAGGATCGTAAACAAAATGTGTATTTACACTCGTTGATTTCTTAATTTGATGTACTTTCAAAAAAACATTAATTATGCTTTGTTGTTTTACATAGAATGGATACCTTGAAGAGGCATGTTCCGGTTTCTGGAGATGAGGGGCTACAGGAACTTAAGAAAAAAAGCTGAGATGTTTGAAGACAATATATGTACAGCTGCAACATGCCAGGTTTGTTGTGTGTTGTATGACATCATGTTTTTTTATAATATGGTAAGCTACTTTGGGACCTAATTTTTTTAATTAATTTGGTTTGCAGTCTGACTATTTGCGAAAGATATCCTTGAAGATGTTGACTATGGAAACTAGATCACAAAATCCTATGAAATCAAACTAAGCGAGAGGCCCCAAACATATTATACATATTACATTACAGTAAATGGTTGTCACAAAACTAAACCGTTGTGATGACAATTACTAACTTCACATTCGTAACATAACATAACAAACGTCTTGTATGATATTTGACTTTTACCATTTATGGCATTGTACTTCAGTTACTTGGTCATATTTACAATACAACCCTCTTCTGAAAAGATATGTAAGTCATGCCTTTTAGTTTCTTTGGCATGATTCTTTGATTTTCGACTTAATGGGGACAAGACTTTGGGACTGTTTCATCTTTTTTCCCCGTTAAGTGAATAAGACAAAGTGATGTATATATACATCCTTTTTTTTTCTAGACTAAATAAGTGGTCTTATATTCTATTTTTTTTCCAACGTGAGGATAAAATAGGTAGACTTAGCGTCTTAATACATTGAGTTTTTTTTTTTTTTTTTTTTTTTTTTTTAAGGCCGTTAAGTCATTTTGTCCTAGTAAGTCAAAAGAAACAACCATGTTTAGCTATTGTGATCAAGTGCTTAACACATAAAGCTTATCAAGTAAAAAAAGCTTCTTAATACAGTAAGCTATATATGGGTTTAGTGCAGAAAAAATGAATTAGCACACAAAGTCGGAGAAATTTGGCTTTCCCTAATAAGTCCCAGATTTTTACCATTATACCCTCATTTCCTTTTGTCCATCCATATCCCCGAATGTGTCATAATTATCTCACATTTAAACATCATTTATTCATACATCTTATCAAAGAACACTAGCGTATAATAGCGTATCTAGTTCACTCAAACTCATGCTCTTATACCAAACATAAACACTCCCGCTAAGGTAGTTTAAAATACATTTTTAGAATCATTAAATTTTAATAATGTAAGTTGAAAGTTTTAGTTGTAGAAATTATATGGTCCCATAGTTTTAAAACTAGTTTAAAAGTTAAAAGTAGGGAAGACGTGTCAATAGAATATCATAACATAGTTTACAAAACCACACATGAAGTGGCCTTTTCAAAAGTCTTTGATACTTAGCACATATTAAAACAAGTTAGACAATGGAATTGTTTGAATAATACCTCCAAAATCAATGAAAACATAAAAAAAGAATTTAGGGTTCAAAGGACCCAAACCAAACCAAACCAAAAGGGTATTATATAACTCATAGTTCGAAACATATTCATGTTGAGTTTCATTAATCCTAACAAAGAATAAATACATAGGCAATGGAAACAACACAATTTATTCTAAGGCAAGTTAAAATCTAAACCTTACATGGATCTTAATCTAATAATATAAACAACAAGACAGTTAAGAGATACTAACCTTATAGAAAAAAAAATCGTATTTTTCTAACTTAGAAGATCCCTTTGATGAATTTCGAATTCCTTGAGGCTCTTGAAAGAGCTAGCACCTAAAGTAGAATGCCTCTAAAGAATCACACCCAAAAGACTAATTACTAGAAGAGAGGAGAGAGGAGAGGGAGAGCCAAAATCTCGATCTTAAGATTGCTTAGAGCAAGGGACCAAATTTCTAGGAACCAGGAGGGGGTATTTATAACTGGAGGTTACTTGTAGATAAAACAGATTTGAATAATTAAATAATCCAATTTAATCCAAAATTCAAATCCTTGCTTATCCATACCCTATGGATGAAAATCCATAGGATTATCCTAAGGAATTTTCGTCTAACCCTACCTACGGTTCCAGAATGTTTCACCTATTCAAATTTTGAATAATTACAATTCAGTCATCCATATACTTTTAATTAATACTAAACTAATTTGAAATTAATTCTAAATTAATCGTTTCTAATTAATTTATCAAGTTATGATAAGTTAATAAACTATTTATCTATATATCTTAAAATATTTTCTAGTTCTTTTAGATCTTGAGGGCAACCCTAAAAAGACTTTGTTATTATTCCTAAAGTTATAACAATTAGTTATGACATCGGACACCCCTTTCCAACAGTCTTCTACTTGGGTAATTCATCAACTACTATTGGTCGAATAGCTTCGGATAATCAACAAAGCGTACCTTCCACAGCATCTGTCGAACTCTGGTCAAATCAAGAATCAACCCTTAGATAAGTGATCAATTATTTATTTTTTTTACAAGATATATGTATGAACTGAGTCATGGATTTAGTAATCAACCTTACACTTCAAAATTATGTTTCTTGGTTAACGATTTATGATGCCCAAATCAGACTACTAATCGAACACATCAATTTAGTCCGTTTTAGGCCTAGCACTAAGATGTCAACATTAAACCATCAAGGGGCCCATGATATCGCTTTTCCTATTAAGGCAAAAGGAATAAATAAACTATGACTACATAGTTTTTTTCTACTTGTCATATCACGCATAAACTTACTTGTTATAACCACCGGTTATGGATAGTGTAACACCCAGAATCAGAAAGAGCAAGAAAAGAAAGGAAAAGCTCTAAGTCATGAGTCAACTCGTCGAGTCCAGGGAGGAACTCGGCGAGTCGGAGCGGGATCCGGGGTATAGAGTAAGTGACCGACTCGGCGAGTCGGCTAGTGGACTCGGCGAGTCTGGTCTGGGCGAGAAAAACCATAATCCCGGGGGTTGTGCCCTATTTAAAGAACATTACATCCCTTCCCCAGCCTCTTTACTCCCCTTTTGAGATCCAGAAACCCTAAATCGTGAGTGAGAACCCTTGGAAGCAATTTAGAGCCTAGATATGTGATTTTGGTGGAAAGGGGCTTGAAGATCAAGAGGCTTGCTGCAAAGGAGTGGTGTAGATCCGGGATCTACTTCAGTTGGAGCATATATTGGAGGTAATAAGTTGTTGCTTTGGCTTTATTGCAAATAGATCTATCTTATGTTTGAGATTTGGGGCATTTTGGGCATGATTGAGATCTATGTCGAGTTAGAGGCCTAGATCTGAGGTTGCTACCTCAGATCTAGACTTGTGATGGTCCAGAAGGTCATAAAGGTTATGTCAATAAGTTATTGGTGAAGCCCCTTTGCCTTAAACCCTAGCCCTAGAGTGTTTTGGGCCTTTAGCTCCTTGGTTTCACGTAAAGTTTGCAACTTTACGTGGGGGATAGACTGTAGAAGAGTGGATCTATGGATTGGAGCCCCTGCATGGCTCGAAAAGCCACTGTATGGATTGAGAACTGGAGAGACTCGGCGAGTCACATGGGTGTACTCGACGAGTTGTATGAATATGTGCATGGGCTCGGCGAGTTGGAAGAACAACTCGGCAAGTCTGTTGAAGATTGCCTAGGACTCGGCGAGTCTGTTCTTCCAACTCGACGAGTCAGGTCGCAGAACCCCCAACCTCTTCTGGTTAAGACGCAGATTAGTGAGTTGAGTGGTGACTCAGTGAGTTGGACAGGATGGGACTCAGAGATCGTTGAACTCGACGAGTCCTGGGGTGAGTCGGAGAGTTGGGTCGTATTTTGAGAGCTTCTGAGTTTAAGGACTCGGCGAGTCGAGTCAACTGGAAGGTTGACTTTGACCAGGACTTTGACTTTAACCAGAGTTGACTTAGTTTGACTTCTAGAGTTCAGTTTGGAACTAAGTGTTATATTGATAATAGTAGCTCGGGGAGCTAGTAGAGCAGCGGTTTAGAGAGTTGTCGGACAGCAGCCAGAGGGTTATCAGCAAAGTTCAGCAGTGCAGGTGAGTTTTCCCTTTGTGTGGATGGGTCTACGCCCACAATGCCGGCCCATGTAGTTGTGAGTAGGAAGACCCGGGGGTAAGCCCTAGGCACTGTTTGCTAGCATGATATTCAAGACCAAGGTCCAATGTCGGGCGGGTGCCCAAGGAATGGTTTGCATGATAGAGTATACTTGTTGTCTGTGTGATACTTGTATGTGCCTGGTAGGGAGGTGAGTGTGGGTGAGGTCCCGTATCTCACCAATAGCAGAGCGTGGATGGTGTTCCATATCTCATTAGCAGCAGAGCAGGGGCGAGGCCCAAGTTAGGAAAGGAGTGAGTGTGGGCTGGGCCCGTATCTCACTATCAGAAGGAGCGTGGACGGGGTTCCATGATTCATCAGTAGCAGGACAACGGCGAGGCCCAAAATAGGCGAAGCCTTAGAACAGGATTCAGTAGTATATATTTAGTTATGTGTTGTGGTATGTTTATGTGTTAGTATATGTTAGCGGGCGGGGCCCAGGGACAGGCGGGCCCTAAGAGAAACAGATCTGTATCCGAGCGGGGCTCGAAGCCAGGCGGGGCCGTTGAAGCGGGCGAGGCCCAAAGTAGCGGGTGTGGCCCAGTATCTGCAGTATGTGATTATGCAGGGTATGTGGTAGGTTGGGGAACTCGCTAAGCTTCGTGCTTACAGTTTTCAGTTTTGGTTTCAGGTACTTCCGGTAGCGGAGGGAAGAGCTCGGGGTGATCGCATGGCACACACCATTGATTAGACAGCCTGGGATGTTTTACTCTGATGAAATGAACAAGTGTTTTGAAAAGATACTCTGATTTGTTATATAACTCTTTTAGTATGTTTGAAATGATTTAATACTATGGTTTAGTTATGATTTAAAAATGAAATTTTTGACCTTGAATTTTGGGATGTTACAGATAGCATTAGAGTAAGACTAATACACAACCAACTTGTTTGCAAAGAACTCAATGTCTCTCTGTTTTAAGAATAAAATATATTATCATCTCAGATTACTCGTGATTGAATCTATGAAGTAATCTCTCTGAGTGCGGGTTTCTCTGATACTAAAATCTCTATTAAGTACTCATGAATGTTAGTTGCAATCTCCATGCTATGTCTAATCACTATAGACAATCTACTAACACTTCATGACAATATTATCTTAATACTTACTTCCAAGAGTATAACCGATTGTGGATATTTGAGTAAATTAATAGTCGGGAAGTGGGGATCTAAACATGCAAAAACGAAACACAATAATAAATCAATTGTTAAATGGTAACACTCCTGAATATAAATAATTCTCTATTATTTAATCACCAAAAAAATTACAAAATTTATTCATTGTTATAAATGTTTC